AATTCTTATTTTATACTTTTTAATCCCCGTTTTATTTTTTTATTTAATTATTACTTATTAGTTTCTACTTATTTTTACTTATATTTATTTAATTAATTTTTTAACCAATTTTTTTCCACTTAACTGTATTGCTATCACACGGAAGCTAACAAGCACCTGTGTGACAGGATTTGGAGGTGACAGGTTCTCTTTATTGACCCTGTCACCTCCAATACAGGAGTTCTAGCACAGCACTGTGCTGTAACTCCTGTGACAAGTGAGAGAGGAAGAGCACAGCTCTCCCTTCTCACTGTGTACACGGAGCGGCAGGGTTACTTTTAACCCTGGCGGGGTGGCAGGGGGAGGGCTAAATGTAGAAAGCAACTTACCGCGCGGCGCCCCGAAACTGCATGTTCCGGGCGTCGGGGGATTCCACAGACGTTGCCGCCCCTCTTACACCTGGGTGCTAGTGAAAAAGACATCCCGTACTCACCCGCACTGGGGTTTGCCAACCCCTGTATTATAATATTCCCCTTCGCTCCTTCCCCGGCAGCTTCATGAAAGTTTATGTAGGGAGGTTAGGGGAGGGGTACAGATGCTGGGTCAGCACAGAAGAGGAGAGGACTATGACATGCGAGGATCGAGGGGGCTGTGCTAGGGCCTAGAGCTTCACTCTCAAATATGATAGCAAGTTCACTTGTACATTGCATGTGAGTAAAAAATAATTTATGGAAAGAAAATGCACTGCAAGTAAGCATTTAAAATGCTTGTTTTTCTTGTGCTTTTAATTGCAATCTGTTAAACCCTTCTTGTTTAGGCACCATGCACACGGAAATTAAAACACATGCTTCCAGGTGCGTTTGGAGCTCATTTTTAAATCCACTAGGATGCATGTAATGCTTTGCTATGGTTGAATACACACCTAGACATTTAGCAGCATCTAGGTGCATTCAGTCTAGATGTATTTACACAAATAATAATTGTATGTGTCCTGGGACCATTTAGCCTGGTTTTACGTATCTAAAAACACTTCTAAACACTGCAAAACACAAAAACATCTAAACACAGAAAAAATTGATCTGGGAAGCATCATTTATACTCCCCAGATAATATTTCCTGTATTTAATGCAGGAGGCCTGTGATCATGAGGCCTTACATTCATCCTAGAAGCCACCTTGGAGCTGAGCACATGATCATTACAGTTTGAATTAGGGATGCACCGATATTTTTTTTTCAGCACTCGCCGATACCGATATTGGAAGACCCATTAAAGAAGCCAGGTGGTGTGTAATGACGTGGAAGCATGGAGCCGGCTTTCTGGCAAGTCAGGAAGCCGGGCGCCGTGTAATGACACATTGCCTGTTTTCCTGATTGGTCGAGAAGCTGAGCAATCAGGAAGAAGGACGAGTCATTACACGGCACTTGGCTTCCTGATTGGCTGGCAAGCCGGCTCCATGCTCCCTTGTAACCAGGTGATGAGGGAGCATGAAGTCGACTTTCTGGCCAATCAGAAAGCCGGGGGGGGGTAATGACTCGCCAAGCCAGCTCAATGCTCTCTCTTCACTTGGTGAAGAGGGAGCATGGAGCCAGTTCCCGGCCAATCAGGAAGCTGGGCAGCGTGTAATGACTCGCGGCCCGGCTTCCTGATACCGGAAGCTCAGGTATCGGGCTAGGCATTGCAGCATTTGGACGAGTATGAGTACTCGCCCAAATACTTGGCATTGGCACCGAGACCGCATCGGTATCGGTGCATCCCAAGTTTGAATGTTAACTGTTTGTGAGCCAGTAGTGCCAATGCTGTCACAGTATATGCATTCAAACATTAATTTATTTCCAAGCAAAGCAGTGCTGCTGCCTTGACTCCCAAGAGGCTTCCCACACACTGTGTGTAAGTAAAGGGCTTTTGTGAGATGTAGCACTGGAAGGGATTCCTATGTCAAAAGGAACTGACATAAGGCACTCTGCTAATCCCTCCTCCAAGTGGCTGTTCTGATAACGATGCAGGAAATAATATAACGTTGTTTCTTGCCACAGGAACATGGTAGAATAAATAAAAAATGCTGGAAAATGTTTTAGAGGGGGAGCAGGAGTGGTACATTTTGGTAATGCCTGAAGATAAACTGTCCTCTGGTCATCCTGCTTTTTTATCAGCACTGAAATCCTCAGTAGCCAAGTTAACACTAGTTAAAAAAAATCAGAGGGCTGTTTGGAAAAGAACACTCATAAATGTTTTAATTTTACTGTACTACCACTGAGCTTACTTGTGTGCACTGTTTGGTTCAACAAACAGCTTGGGTCTCATTGCTGAAATTCTTTTGTTCTCTCCTATAGCTGGAGGGTAACTGAACAGAAACACATTTCTAGAGTATGTAGCAACTTAACATGTTATGGCTATGCACACTATAATGTACAACATTTGTGTCTATTCTAAAGAACTGTGATTTTGCTTTTATAATTTTCTAATAATATTCTCATTCACACACTCTGTGGATTTAATTTCTTTGTTGCTATTCTTGCTATGCATATTTGTATTCCGTTAGTAAATGGAGTAGGAAAAAACAAATACCAGTTTCAGGGCAGTGAATAGTTTGAGCAGTATTGGCCCAGAACTAGCAGGTTTTGAGAATATCCACTTACATCAGCACATGACTTCACAAATGTTTGGCTTTATATTATATGGCCCCTTACACACAGGCATTCCGGTCTGGTTCGTCTCACAGTTTTTCAGGCGGATCTAATTGGAAGCCCCATGTTAGTCTATGGGGAGCTGTATCTAAACAGACATGCATCCATTTATATCCGATTACCCCTGACTCCGGCCAGGTCCACAAAAACAAATCGAACAAAGTTCCGTTTTGGTAGACCTGATCGTGCTGGATCGGAGGTAATCCATTTGCATCCGACTCCCCATAGGTGAACATAGGTCTGGTAATTTAACCACAAGATGGTGGAAAAATAGTTACCTCTCTTGCTTCCTGCACTGCTGAACATTGCTCTGATGAGAGGAAATGGTCCTATGAAGACAGTTAGGAAATTGACACTTCTGGGAGTGGGGATTTCTTGAGTCCCCCATAGCACTTACAGGTCTATTCACTAAAGGGTGAAGAGTGTGGAGAAGGCAGAGGCAGGAGAAGTGAACAATCTAGGCCAAAATAGCTGATTTGGAAAAATTCTCCAATTCAGCTCACTTTCCAGTTCAGCTATGTTGTCCTAGATTGTTCACTTCTCCTGCATTCTCCAAACTCTTCCCCCTTTTGTGAATAGACCATAGTGTTTCCTCTTGACAATCCCTACATCACAGGACACAGGCAGGAGAAATCATTGAGCACTCTGAACATATGTCGTGCGGAAATTTCTTCTCATCAGAGCAGCATTCAGCAGGTCGAGCAGCAGGAGAGGTAAAGATTTACTGTTTTCTTTGTAGGTTACTCTTCTGTTGGGACTTTTATTTATGGCTTGAGTCACATTATCGCAAACAGTGAACTGTGCGATGATCATGCTTTTAATTATAAGGTGACAGGTCCTCTTTAGGAATCATTGACTTGTTGCCGATTTCTTTAAACCCTGCAAAGAAACATGATCTTCATATAAACCTAGTTCTGTTTTTCAACTGCCTTGTCATTAATGAAATATTTTAGAGATGACAAAATAGAAAAAAGGCAAGTATGCATTTCTGTCTAGTGTCCAGAAGATGGCAACATAATATATAACATTAATACTTGTTTTGTATATTATTTATAGGGAATATATTTAGAATTCTCTTTTAAGAAATGTTAAAACATGCTTTGTAGACTCTGTTATTGCTTTTATTGTCATAATAACAGTGATGGTTGGAATAACATACGCGTCTATTCAC